TGTTCAGTAACCGGACGACACACCCTTTATCAACTTCGCGTACACAGGCCACTGCTAAGCTCATACCGCGACTCAACATACTTATGTTTATTAAACATCATATGTACATACATGCTTACGTATATCTAAGATGGTTTATATATCACTTTGTACATATGTACATATGTATATACATATGTAGTAGCGAGTCCGTATTAAGCTATTGTCTTTTGACAATTATGCATACTATGTCTATATATACAAACAACCATACCTAAATACATTGTTCTTTATTTTTGTACGTAGCCTTGAACTTGAGAATTGATATTTTGCTAAATAATGTCACCTCATATTACGGTACATTAAGACTTAATATTCGCCTATTTAAGACTGCATTGCTTGATAATTTGGGGCTTTTTTCGCAAGGGTACAAGTGTGCAGAACAACTTGTTCGATAATAAAGTTTAACCAAAAAGTAAAAGGTCGGCTTTTCATTTGTTTCTACAGTCCGCTTATTCAAATACATAACATTTTTAGTCATTCAAGCCGGATTAGACGCGGTTATACTAACTTAAATTTGTTATCACGGGTTCGGTTATTGTTCTGCATCAAACACTGTACACGGGTTAATATCAAGTGAATCAAAATGCAGAAATTGAAGGCTAAACGGGCAATGCTGAAGGGAGCCGCCACAAGAATTTCTACATGTGTGACGACTAGTGGTATCGATCAACCAGTTGCAGATTGGGAGTGCCGCTTGGAGCGCCTCGATGAGGTTTGGAACGAGTACAAAGGAATTGTTAATATCATGATCGAGAGGAGCGACGACGATGAAGAAGTGGTGGCAGAGATCGAGGAAGATCTGGAAGAATTCGAGGAGCGGGTGCTTACATTAAAAAGCAAATTACGGTTACATATTTCAGGAAGGTCTCATATGGCAGCGAATACAGCAGCTGTTTTCGAATCAACGCGGCAGGATACGTCGGTGACGAGTATTCTTTCGTCCCAAACAGAAATCCTCAACAATTTAGCAACACAAGTGTCAAGTTCAAAATTAAACTTTCTACCTAAGTTTAAAATAAAGCCATTCTCTGGTAATCTAACCGAATGGAAGTCATTTCACGATTCCTACGTCAGCGCCATTGACAACAACACCTCATATATTGCTTGTCAAAAGTTTCAATTGTTGAAAAGCTATTTAGCAGAATCAGCGTACGACGTTGTTGGGCATATTCCAGAGTCAAACCAAAACTATACAGAAGCATGGAATAAGCTATATTCACGGTACAACAAAATGGGTGTTATTGCGAAGACACACGTTACCAGGTTCATTAATTTGTCAGCGTTGAGCAGTCAATCAGCGAGTAGCTTACGTAAGCTATACGATAGTGCAGATGAGGTTGTGCGTGGGCTGCGTGCTTTGGGTGAAGATGCAGAAAAACGCGATGTTTGGCTCATTAATATTTTGCTATCCAAGTTGGATTCAGCTACATCGCAAGAATGGGCTAAGTTCAATAAATCAAATATTGATTTTCCCACATTTAATGAATTTTTGAGTTTCATAGATACAACATGTCTCGCCTTGGAAGCAACTGCACCGACAACCACATCACATACACGCAACCGTATAGTAGCAGTGAAGGCCCATCAAACAACCGTAGATGTTAAATCGCGATGTGTGAAGTGCAACGCTTCCCATGAGTTGTCCCAATGCAGTATCTTTTTGAGCATGAGTGTTAAGGAAAGACGTGAAGTTGTTGCAAATAAGCGAGTTTGCTACAATTGCCTGAGAGTGGGGCATATATCGAGTAACTGCCACTCTAAATATTCATGCCGGACTTGTCGTAAACGTCATCACAGTCTTCTTCATGAAGACAATAGTACAGTACAGCCAAAGCAACAGGCTGAGGGAAAGACCGTAAACGTCAACTTCAACTCCTTGCCTGAAATCAACACGCTTCTCCCCACAGCGGTATGTAAGGTTACTGATTGCTATGGTGAACAACAACAATGCCGGTTATTGTTGGACAGTGGGGCTGAAAAAACGATTATCTCCGAAAATTGCGTGCGTCGTTTGGGTTTGCGTCGTCAACATTCGCGTATACCAATACACGGGTTGAACAATGCAGCTACTGGCATTTCTCATGGGTGGGTGTCGCTGCACATCACTTCTAATGTAGGTAGCGAAGCATTTAACGTCGATGCGTTGATTATGCCAACAGTCGCGTCATCCATGCCAGTACATAAACTAGAGACACAGCAATATTCATCATTTCTATCGCTGGATTTGGCTGACCCTCAATTTTACGTTCCGTCGCCTATTGACATCCTACTAGGAAATGAAAAGTTCTTCGAAATACTAAAAGGCGAAAAAGTGCGAGGCATAAATCAAAGTCTCAACGCCTTTTCAACATCGTTAGGCTGCATTGTGGGAGGAGACTTAACTCGTCGTGCAAAGGAAAGGAGCGTCGGAGTTTTCTTCAGCAATTTTGACATAGACAAAGCTCTTACCCAATTTTGGGAAATAGAAGAGATTCAAGGTACCGTTCAATATACAGAAGACGAGGAAAGAGCAGAGAATTCATTTTCACAAACGTACATGAGAGCTCATGATGGCAAATTCAGCGTTGAGTTACCTTTCGAGTCTCAACGTCCAAACTTTGGCAATTCAGTTGATCTTGCATTAAAGCGTTTGAGCTCAACTGAACGCAGACTTGCAAGTAATCCAGGGTTACAATCACAATATTCAAATTTCATGGCAGAATATATTGCGCTCAACCATATGGAAATAATTCCAAATACAGAAATTGCGAAATCGTCGAACGAGTGTTACTACTTGCCTCACCATGCGGTGATTAAAGCTGGTAGTACAACAACGCGTGTTCGAGTAGTATTTGATGGGTCTGCGCATACCGGCAAATATTCGTCGCTAAATGAAGCATTACTTACCGGACCATCATTGTTGCGTGAAATATTTGCGATAATAATACGATTTCGTCAGCATCGCTTTATTATGTCTGGAGACGTGGAAAAGATGTATCGTATGATTTGGGTACATGACTAGCACAGAGACTTTCAGCGTATTTTGTGGCGCAGTTCACCTGATAAACCAATAGAACACTACAGGCTTAACACAGTAACATATGGCACGTCGTGCGCGCCATACTTGGCAGTCAGAGTGTTACACGAACGTGCTCATACATCGCATACCGCATACCCATTAGCGTCACGGGTAATTTTAAATGATTTCTATATGGATGATGTTATGACAGGTGCAGAAACTGTTGATGATCTTCTAAAAATACATGGGGAGTTAGTTGCACTTTTGAAAACCGCTGACATGAATTTACGGAAGTGGAGCAGTAATTGTGTCGAATTATTGCAAGAGCTTCCAGAAAACATGCGTGAAATGTCTCCACTGTCTTTCGAATCAACGAAATCTTTGAAGCTGCTTGGCTTAAAGTGGAGTCCAGCGAATGATGTGTTTGAATTCAGTGTGTCACCGTCTACTACATCTACGGTAACGAAGCAATCGATATTATCGGATGCCGCTCGAATATTTGACCCCTTAGGATTTTTAACACCAACCACAATTTTAATTAAAATCCTTTTTCAAGAACTCTGGTTACTAAAGCTGGAGTGGTCAGATGCAGTTCCGACCGAAATTGCAACATATTGGAAGGACCTGAGGAGTACACTTTCAGTGCTGAATACACTCCAAATACCGAGAAGAGGCCTGTTCAAGCTTGGCCACTGTGAACTCCATGGGTTCTGTGATGCTTCACAAAGTGCTTTCGGAGCAGTTGTGTATTGCCGTTCGGAGCACGAAGGCGAGATCATTACTCGGCTTGTTGCTGCTAAAAGTCGTGTAGCTCCACTGAAAACTGTGTCCGTGCCACGACTCGAATTGTGTGGTGCTGTGCTTTTGTGCCGATTGATGAACCAAATTAGGAACGCGCTCGGATTCGACAACACGAATGTCCATATGTGGACGGATTCATCTATAGTGCTACACTGGCTGTCCGCTTTGCCCAGACGTTGGCCGGTATACGTGGCAAACAGAACATCGGAAACTTTAACATCTTACACACGATCGCAGTGGAGTCACGTTCGATCTGCAGATAATCCATCCGACCATGCTTCAAGAGGTATCATGCCCATGGAACTAAAATCGCTAACTGTCTGGTGGAATGGTCCCTCTTGGCTTTCTAAGAGCAAGCAAACTTGGCCGAAATCGAAACCGCTATTAGACATACCACAAGATATATTATAAGAGAGTAAGCATAAACCACCTTCTGTTACTAAACTATTCTTCATATCAACAGAGCATCACGTCATTCTTGGATCATTAGTGCACGATATATCTATGTGGCCTCGTTTGGTTCGTGCTGTAGCTTACTGTTTACGGTTCATTGGTTCACTTCGCAAACAAGCATACAACCCATTTTTGTCATCGATTGAACTTCAAGGCGCTACAACCTTTATAATTCGTGCGGTACAAGAGGAGATGTTTTTTGATGATATAGCTGCGCTAAAGGAAAAACAGGCCGTAGCAAATAGAAGTAAACTTTCATGCCTTGCACCATTTCTAGACAGAGCTGGAGTTCTGAGAGTGGGTGGTCGCATATCAAATTCGTCAGCTTCATTTGACGTTAAACATCCCGCAATTTTATCATCAAAACACGTCGTCACTGATATGATTATGAAGTATATGCACTTATCGAATCTGCACGTCGGTACAACGCAATTGATATTTCTTACTAGACAGCAGTACTGGATTTTGGGCGTGCGAAACATCGCGAGACGGATTGTACATAACTGCATTACTTGTTTCAAATTACGTAAGGCTACACAAACTCAGATGATGAGTGACCTGCCTGTTGAGCGTGTGCGATTTCAACGACCTTTCAGCAAGGTGGGCTGTGATTATGCCGGTCCATTCTTACGCAAAGTAGAGATTGGTAGAGTACCAAGGAAAGTGAAGTGTTACATTGCGCTTTTCGTGTGTTTTACAACAAAGGCGATTCATATAGAGCTAGCAGGAGATTTAACTACCGAGTCATTTATTGGAGCTTTAGATCGCTTCATATCGCGCCGTGGAAAACCATTGGAAATATGGTCGGATAACGCAACGAACTTCATTGGAGCGAAACGAAAACTCGACGAAATGCAACAAAGTATAGAAACGAACTACAAAGACATAAACACAGCTGAATTTCTTTCAAAAAATGGTATCACATGGCGATTTATTCCCCCGTCGTTACCACACTTTGGTGGATTATGGGAAAGTGGCGTTAAGTCCATCAAAACTCATTTGAAGCGCGTAATTGGACAGACTGCCTTGACCTATGAACGTTTTTATACCTTACTAACTAGAATTGAAGCACTTCTTAATTCTAGGCCGTTGTGTCCCAGTAATGATGGCGAAATTGATGCACTTACTCCAGCTCACTTCCTTATTGGTCAACCGTTAACTGCCAGAACTGAGGTGCCTGTGGATTCAACGATAAATACGGACCCATTGAAGCAATGGGATAAGGTAAAGCATATGGCTCAAGGGTTTTGGAGGAGATGGCACGCTGAGTATCTTACGAGTCTCCAACAACGGCAGAAGTGGCGTACTAATAAACCGAATGTGAAGTTGGGCGATATTGTTGTTTTACGTGAAGCCAATTTACCGCAGTCACAGTGGGTTCTCGCTAAGATCATCAAACTACATCCCAGTGTCGACGAGAAAGTACGAGTGGTCACGGTGAAAATAGCGAAAGGAGAGTACTGGATAGCACTGCTTCCAGGCTCAGGAGAACGGGAGTCCTCCTGCAGGGGGGGAGGATGTTCAGTAACCGGACGACACACCCTTTATCAACTTCGCGTACACAG